GTTGAGTAAACATACATTTATCTGTTATGTGCCTTCTAGGAAAAGGAGTCTTTTTTATTTTTATTATTATTATTATTTTTTTAATAAATTGATTCTTTTTTAAAAAATATATATTTTATTGAATTTTTACAGAGAGGAAGGGAGAGAGAGAGCTAGAAACGTCGATGAGAGAGAAACATCGACCAGCTGCCTCTTGCACACTTCCTACCGGGGATGTGCCCGCAACCAACGTACATGCCCCTGACCGGAATCGAACCTGGGACCTTTCAGTCCGCAGGCCGACGCTGGCTTCGGCAAGGAGTCTTTTTTAAATAAATCAATATCATACACAAATGAAATGGCAGGAACTCTGTTCTAATATTTTATTAGATCATGTAGGGAAGAGATAGGTTTTGGTGTAGGTGAAGTTGAGGGACAATCACTGAGGAGTATTGAAGTACCTAAAACATGTGGCTGATATTACAGTTTTCTGAACTTGAACGTTTAAAAGAACAATAAGAAATGGAAAGTGTAAAAACTTCTCTTTCTGGTAAGTTATGTAAATATTGCCAAGGCTGTTTTGTGGGGCTGCCCAAGGGAGTGGTCTGGAAGAAAAAGACAGTGGAGCAGCTGTTATTCTCATCCGGGAAAGCAGAACGTACTGGTGCAGTTGCTCTGCCTGTGCTTCCCGGATTTGCTCAGAGGACACACCAGCTGAGTCTGCACTGGGAGTTGCTATGGGGAAGTGAACGTTCCAGCTAATGGGCACACAGTGTGGAGCAACTTAGAAATCTTCCTTGTTGGCAGATCTCAAACTTCCTTTCCTCATAGATGCAAAAGGTCTTGGGGCATGGAGAAGTTGTGGTTTCTGAGGCCCAGAGACTTATCAGCCCCACCAGAGTATTCACCAAAGGCCAGCAAGAGAGATTGGTTGTAACAATAAACTTCGTTTGGTTTCCATCTCTGGTACTGGTTTGTACTTTTTCCATTTTGCCTGGAAAATTCAGAGCCTAGCCAGTATGATTCCTCGCCTTGTCTCACCTTTCTTCTCTGCTCCCCACCCTCTGGCTTGGTCTGTGGATATCTCAAGCCTTCAGAGACATGGCTGGAGAGTATATGTGTTTCTCTGAACCAGAATTAACAGTCCTGGCTTAGTCTGGCCTACAGATAGTGCACCTACAGACAGCCTTTACGTCGGTTTTTCTGCATGGCCTCACATGGGAAACCTGAGTGGCTGCTGAAGTCAGGCCTTCCGTATTACAGCGTCACCCTTTCTGACTCTCAGAGCTAAAGGAATTTGTCTGCATCATTAGGTGTCAGCTGTATTGCTTCCATATAGCTTGGAGTTTCTTTTTAGCAAGTGAGCACTTCATATGTGAACCACGGACAGACTCAACTGCAGTGAATCAATGAAGGAAGGCACTGTGCTAATGCCATCAATATGCCTCATTTTGAGATTTCCAAAGATGGATTATCAAGCAGGATGTAGCAGATCGGCAGGTTTTCCTTTTGAGAAGTTAGGTGTATTTTTAGCCATTCTCTCTGCCTTGCCAAACCTGATCTGCCTCATCCAAGGTTCTGAAGTGCTGCATCGTGCTGCCCCCAACTGGTTCTTTTGGTGCTTATGTTACCACATCAGAAAATCTCAGATTATGTGGCACTTAAATTTTAAAAAATATATTTTTTTATTGATTTCAGAGGAAAGGGAGAGGGAGAGAGAGTTAGAAACATCAATGATGAGAGAATCATTGATTGGCTGCCTCCTGCAGGCCCCCTGATGGGGACCAAGCCACAGTCCAGGCATGTGCCCTTGACCAGAATTGAACCCGGGACCCTTTAGTCCACAGGCCAGCACTCTGTCCACTGAGCCAAATCGGTTAGGGCTTAAAATTATTTATTTACTTACTTATTTAATTTTATTTTTAAAAATATATTTTATTAATTTTTTTTACAGAGAGGAAGGGAGAGGAATAGAGAGTTAGAAACATCGATGAGAGAAAAACATCGATCAGCTGCCTCCTGCAAACCCCCTATTGGGGATGTGCCTGCAGTCAAGGTACATACATGCCCCTGATCGGAATTAAACCTGGGACCTTTCAGTCTGCAAGCCGTCGCTTTATCCACTGAGCCAAAACATTTCGGCATGGCTTAAATATTTTAAAGCACTTTCATATATTTGTATTAGATTCTCATAATAACATTGTGAGTTATATGGATCAGAAATTATCACACCTACTTTATTTTTTTAGTTGCCTTGTCCAAGTTAAATGATTATTAAATAGTAGAATTGGACTAAAATTCAGATTTCTTGCCTCCGATCCTATTAGCTACCCTAGTCTTTTGTAAATTCAATAATACCCCTCATTATAGATATTAAGAGCTTAATTTCAGATTTGAAGGAATTTGCCCTCTTTTCTCCCTTGGAAGGAGGAGGGAGATAAAACCAAATTATGTGAGGTTAAATTCATTAACCTAATTGGCAAAAAACTTTGAGTTCCTGTTTTGCATGAGGCTTCTGACTTGGGTTTGCAGTCTCCTATCTCTGAGGTGTAATGTAGTGGTAAAGTACATGATGCTGGAGCCAGGCTGCCTGGGTTTGAATCCTGGCTCTGCTTCTTAATAATTGGGTAACCTTGAGCAAGTTTCTTAACTTCTAAATGCCTTTTGTCAAATGAGGATAATGGTATACTTTACCTCATAGGGTTATGTGTAGTGAATGAGATAATTTTAAGTTCTTAGAATAGTGTCTGGCACAAAGTGGGCACATATAAATAACTATTAGCTGCTGTTATCATCATCCCCATATAAATATGCTTATTTGCTCTTTTAAAAAATATTTTTATTGATTTCAGAGAGGAAAGGAGAAGGAGAAAGAGAGAGAAACATCAATGATGAGAGAGAATCCTTGATCGGCTGCCTCCTGCACATCCTCCACTGGGATCAAGCCTGCAACCTGGTCATGTGCCCTGACCGGGAATTGAACTGTGAACTCCTGATTTATAGGTTGACACTCAACCACTGAGCCATACCAATCGGGCACTTATTTGTTCTTTTAAAAAGTTAGGAATGATGAACAGCCAGATTTCTTAAAAAGTACATCTTCACATAGTTTCTACATAGTTTTCTCTCCTATTCACTCCTTGGTTCACTTGGGTCTTAATCACTTTACTGAAACTGCTCTGGCCATGGATGCCAATGACTTCCTGGTTTTAAATTCTGTAGATACTTTTGGTCTTTTCCTTTTTGGACTTTTATCTTTCTTTGACTTCTAGGATGACATTCTTACTTGATTCTTCTTTTCCTGCCTGCTCCTTTTCTCATCTTACATGTTAACTCCCGGGAAATTTCATACATTCCTTGGCTTCAGCAATTACTTTAGCTCAATGTTATTGCTTCCTAAATCTTAGTATATAGCCTAACTTTGTTCCTGAACTTTAAACATCTCTCTATTTGACACCTCCACTTTGGTTGTCCCATAAGCCTTTAAACTCAACATTGTCTTCAGAGAGGAAGAGAGAGGGAGAGAAAGATAGAAACATCAGTGATGAGAGAGAATCATTGACTGGCTGCTTCCTGCACGCCTCCTACTGGGGATTGAGCCTGCAACCCAGGCATGTGCCCTTGGACCGTTCAGACTGCAAGCTGATGCTCTGTCCACTGAGGCAAACCTGCTAGGGCTCAAGTTTTGTGTACTTTTTTTTTTTTTAAAGTTTTTATTGATTTTATTTTATTTATTGAATATATTTTATTGATTTTTCACAGAGAGGAAGGGAGAGGGATAGAGAATTAGAAACAACGATGAGAGAGATACATCGACCAGCTGCCTCTTGCACACCCCCCATCAGGGATGTGCCCGCAACCAATGTACATGCCCTTGGCCGGAATCGAACTTGGGACCTTTCAGTCCGGAGACTGACGCTCTATCCACTGAGCCAAACCGGTTTCGGCAAGTTTTTATTGATTTTAAAGAGAGAGGAAGGAGAGAGGGAGAGAGAGAAGCATGCTCCTTACCCACAACCCAGTCCCGATCCCCATTTGCCCCGACTGGGAATTGAACCAGAGACCTTTTGATACATGGGATGACACTCAACCAACTGAGCCACACCGGCCAAGGCTCTAAGTACATCTTGAATCTTGCTCTGTTCTATTGCCTCCATGATTGCCTTAACTCAGACATCTTTCTTTCACCAGGATTATTGCAATACTCTTCTATTTTTCCTTTTCCATATTCTCCACTTTATTCTGTCATGCTATTGCTAAAATAATATTTTTTAAAAAGCAAATATAAATGTTATTATGTTTAAAAGACTTTCTTTTGTTCCCTATAGAAAAGGTAAAGCCCATATTTCTTAGCAAAGCATATGAGCTTCTTCTGGCCATAGTGGCTAAATTGGTCTTCTATACGCATCATGCATTTAACCTATATCTTTGCATATGCTGCTCCCTTTGTGTGGACTTTCTTTTCTGTTCCCCCAGGTTATCCTTTTGACTCCTTATTTCCTTTGTGCAGCTTTCTCTGGCATGTCCAGATTGAGTTAGTAACTTTATTCTGTATGCTACATAGCACTGTGGTGGTACATGTACAAAGCTCTTATTTTAGCATTTACCAAATGCTGTTGTTAGTCTGTATCCCTTAATAGATTGTGATCTCCTTAAAGGAAGGTATCTTTGTGTATAGATCAGTGTTTCCCAAACTTTTGACATAGGTGTACCCCTTCTATAATTTTCGTAACGCTGAGTACACCTCGTACTCATGAGAACGTAGAATTAGGCGCAACTAAGCACGGTGCAGTGTATATCCCCACCAAACTCCGGTGCAATGCGTACCCCCGTACTCCTAGGGGTATGCGTACCACACTTTGGGAAACACTGGTATAGATGCAGAATAAGCCCTCAGTCACCTAAAAAACAACTATGAACAAAACATCCAGAACTCTATCTTCTAAGTGTTACTCTCTAGTGGTTTCACCACCAGTCTTATATTCCTGACAAATGGTAGCTGGGTTTTCCTTGTTTTACAGTATATCAACGCTGGAAACCTGGAACAGTTGCTAGACAGTAACCTGTATTTGCCCTGGACTGTGAGGGTGAAACTGGCCTATGACATAGCAGTGGGCCTCAGCTATCTTCACTTCAAAGGCATTTTCCATCGGGACCTCACATCTAAGGTATGAAGGCTTTCCTTGCACCACTTGACACTGTCCTCCATTACCAAGAAAGCGGTGTTAAGAAACCAGTCATTAATAAGCTTTGAAATGTAGAGTTCTTTTATAGATTTCACATTTAAACACAGAGGATACAAATTAATACTTTATATAGTTAGTCTTTAGAAAGCCTATCTCGGCTCACAACAGGTACCTTTCAGTGTCGAGCCAGGCAACACATACATCTTGAGAAACTTCACGCTTTTTTTTAATCTCCTGAATATGTGTGTTGTAGGAGCAGATGGCATGAGGAGGGTTAAGAGGTTCTTGCCCAATAGGATGATAGCAGTCAAAACAATGTGGGAGCCTGTCTTTTATTGTTCTCTCTCGTAGCCTCCAGGAAGTAGTTCTTAACTAAGAGCAGGAGTTTGGAGATTTTTAGTCACTTGAGTGCAGGTGTTGAGGGCCATAATGTACTGACCCATTTTCTATGTGTGTGATTGAGTTTCTGCCATTCTGCCAGTTCCTCTTTGGTGTTAGCTGGTCTCTGTAGTATTCTCTTGCTGTCCAAAGTGCTATGTGACCAGGTTAGAAAACAGTTGCTTTCAGAGGAAGTTGGCCATGCTACAGGCAGGCCCCACCGGGCCAAGTGGCCCAGGATACCACTGGGACAAGGCTTATATAAAGAGTACTGTTTGATCATGATGTGGGAAATGTAAGACATCTAATATGAGCTGGTTTAAAGTCTTCTAGGGAAGTATATGAGAGTTTTGTACCTGCCCAAGAATAGCTGTCATTTTATTCCCCATCATCAACATATGCCCATGCACAACATACATGCATACATATACTCCCACACCTCTTCTTGACATGGATGAGGGATAAGGGAGAGCGTTATAAGAAAAAGTTTGCCAAGAGAACAAAAGCAGGCTGTACTCTCAGAGTTTCTGGCTACCTCACACTAGAATGATGCTGGTGTTCCAAAGAGAAGTACTGTCCCTGAGGGTCCTTGGCCATTGGCTGATAAACTACACAGAAAATAGCTTTAGCGGAGGTGAGTGTAGGGCCTGTCAGCTGCACTGTTAGTAAAGGAGCACTAAGACGGGCAAATGGAATGTGGTGACCAGCTGAGGCCTAGTTGTGAGGACTGGATAGTTGGACAGCTGGGATCTGGAAGATGGTATCTTTCCCCCTCACCAGCCTTGTCTCATCCCCTAGGTTTTAGAAAGTCAAGACTAGGGAAACTGTATTTGTTCCAGGCAAATGAGTGGGTTCACGTCAGCTTAGACACTGCCATAAGTTGATAGCCTAGCCTCACATTGGGCATGCAGCCAAAATCAAATCTTTGCAGCATCATTTGCTCCAAGATGGAGAGAGATCATGACGAGTTATCCATCAGCCATACAGCTATTTCCCCCACACCTACATGAGTATGTATATTTAAAATATATATTTTTTTATTGAATTCAGAGATGGGAGAGGGAGGGAGAGAGAAACATCAATGATGGGAGAGAATCATTGATTGGCTGCCTTCTGCACATCCCACACTGGGGATGTGCCCCAACTCAGAATTGGACCATGACCTCCTGGTTCATAGGCCGATGCTCAGCCACTGAGCCATGCTGGCCAGGCATGACTATAACCTTTTAGGAACTGTAGGGTAAGACCACTGTCCTTTGGTTTTCCTGATAGCTCGTATGTATTCTCCAATGCCTGCCAATGGCTTGAAACGAGAAACTAGGAACTTAGGAGAAAGTACTGTATCTCTCTGAGCTGTTTTCTGGGTCTGAACTTTAAGGAGGTATTGAGGGTACTTCCATGTGGTAAGAACCAATGACTTTGCAAACTGGAGACAGGCTAGGAATTGCATTTTAGAGAATCTCAAGTTGAAGAAGAACCAGGAAATTTTACAAACCAGACCATCCAATAGGAGAGACTGTCTGTGTTCACTGCCCTTTTATCATTTCTGACCTTTTGTCTGAATGTTCCAGCCTGATTGTAACTGTGTTGCAGGAATTAGGAAGAAGGTACATCCACACCAAGGCCAGAGCAGCCCCACTCAGAAGACCTGTATTGTGGTAACAGTGACCACAATAGTGAAAAATCTCAAAGGAGAAATAGGCTAAATGGACAGAGTAGGACTTTGACTTTTCCAGTTGATCTCCTCATTGCCAACGTTGGGTCTGAGTTTGATTTCTTTAAGTATAATGAGAGATTCACTTCATATTAATTTGTTTATTTTATTGTGTTGTGCCTCGCACCTAGCGTAGAGCCTGCCATAGGGGCTTTCTGGCTATCTCTCAGAAAGTGCACTTGATAGTACAGAGGCCAAAACATCTGCTCGAGAGCTGAGATAGAATCCCAGACCCAGTTTTGTCCCACACCTCCAAATGCCTTAAGTGCCCTTGGGGCCTCAGGGTTCCAAGTCTGTAAGATAGATTCTCTCTTTAACCTCACAGGAGCAATCCGTCTGCACTTCTCAGACCAGAGTTCACAGGAGGGATTTTTAAAATATATATATTTTATTGATTTTCCACAGAGAGGAAGGGAGAGGGATAGAGAGCTAAAACCGTTGATGAGAGAGAAACATTGACTAGCTGTCCCCTGCATACTCCCCACCGGGAATGTGCCCGCAACCAATGCATATGCCCTTGACAGGGCCCCTCAGTCCGCAGACTGACGCTCTATCCACTGAGCCAAACCGGTTTCGGCCACAGGAGGGATTTAAAGTAGTGGGTAAGTCAGGACAGAGAAGCAGTTGCCTTTTTTCCAGATGACCTGAGCCTGTGATAGAAGCAAAGAAGATCCCTCGTTCCTATCAGAGCATCTCCTGAGAGTAGTATTGCCTTTGCAGGATTCACATGCCAGTAGTTACTATAGTGCTGCTTTCAAGAGTGAAACGTCTGTCAGAGATAGCTGTTCAGTCTAATTTTGTAATTCTGAGAAATTGTCTGATACAACTTTGTGCAATGGTGATACTGATAGTTTACTTAGAAGGAAGTGGGAGCTAATGTGACTTTAAAACTATTCACTTCATGAGCCATCAAGAAGTGACAATAACCACACACCGGCTTTTCCTGTGGCTCTAAGAAAAGCTAGTACAGCTGCGCACAAGCCTTGGCCCTCACTCAGAGGCAGCTGAGAAGGCAGTTTGTTTCTGCTTATTACCTTACTGCCCTGGGTCGGGCAAGCACCACTGCATTTGGTTACCCCTAGGAGTATGGATTATGAATTGTGGCTATATTCTTGGTTGTTAGTTTTTTTATATAAGTATTACTTCATTGACTCCAGAGGACCGCTCTGGTGGGTCCATCCGAGTGAAAAGCCTTTCCCTCTCTGGTCTTAGGCTGTACTGTGCAGCAGCGAGGAGCAGAAAATGTCCATTTTCAGAGACTGAAGAGAGCATGAATTAGGAACAATGTTGAATGCTGGAGGAAGTAGAGTGTTGTCTATTAGGGCACCCTGTAGTCTTTTTTTTAATAATGAGATTCATCAATAGCTTTTGAAAATCATTTATACTAGTACGGTGATATTATTAGAGGACATAGTACATGAAACAGTGGCTCAGTGGTTGAGATTGGGGACATAGAAATTTCTGGAGCCGAAACCGGTTTGGCTCAGTGGATAGAGCGTCAGTCTGCGGACCCAGGTTCGATTCCGGTCAAGGACATGGTACATTGGTTGCAGGCGCATCCCCAGTAGGGGGTGTGCAGGAGGCAGCTGGTCGATGTATCTCTCTCATTGATGTTTCTGGCTCTCTATCCCTCTCCCTTCCTCTTTGTGAAAAATCAATAAAATATATTAAAAAAAAGAAAAGAAAAGAAATTACTGGAACACAATCTTTGGGCTTTTATTTTTTCATTCTTGGGCATTTAGGCTAGTTTAGGAGACAGATATGTGAGCAAATTAGTACATAAGAGCTATGGTAAGTGGGATGGAGGGCAAGGGATGGGACAGCAAACCAAGAGACTTAAACAGTCTCTGGGGCATTTAGGAGGCGGTTCAGCCTCTGGCCTCCCTGGGCCGGGCTGGCTTTATTCAGTGCCAATAGTGACTCTGCAGTTGCTGTAGGAGACCTCAGTAAGTGCTTTCAGGTGTTTACTCTGGCCCAGTTTTTGGTTTTTAATTTATTTTTATTGATTTCAGAGAGGAAAGAAGAGGGAGAGAGAAATAGAAACATCAACGATGAGAGGGAGTCATTGATCAGTTTCCTCCTGCATGCCCCCTACGCGGGACTGAGCCTGCAACCCAGACATGTGCCCCGACTGGGAACCAGTTGTGACTTCCTGGTTCATAGGTTGATGCTCAACCACTGAACTACACTGGCCCAGGCATTCAGTGGTTTTTAGGGTATTCAACCAACATCACTATCTATTATAATTTCAGAACTTTTCATCTTGCCAAAAAGAAACCCTCCTTATCCTACTCCCCTCTCCCTTCAGTCCTTGGCAACTAATCTGTTTTTAGTTTCTCTGGATTTTCTCATTCTGGACATTTCATATAAATGGAAACCTATAACTTGTTATTTTCTGGGGAGTATCACAGTTAGATTTGCATTTTATGAAGATCATGCTGGCAGAAATGAGGAAGGCGGATTATGGATCAAGCCTGGACCAAGTTAGAAGAGTATTGCAATATTCAGAGGAGGAATGAATATTGAACTGAACTAGAGCAATAGTAATAAGATGAAGAAGGAAGGACTGGTTTGAAAAACATTTCAAAGAGAAAATTTGTTGGAGTAAGAGTAAAAATATAAGGTTTCTGGTTTAGCAAAAAGAATGAAAAAAGGCAGTACCAGCCTTAAAAAAAAAAAAAAAAAAAAAAAAAAGCTTGAGTTTTAGTTCTTGGAGAAAAAGTTGAGTTCAACTTTGCGTGTGTGTAGTTCAACATGGCAATCCAGAAGTTGTCCAGAAATAGGCAGGCTGTCTAAATCAGCAGCTTGAGGATCAAGGTCAGGGCTGAGGATATACATTTGGGAGCCATGAGCACAAAGGTGGTAATTAAAACAGAAATGTAGGATAGCCTCAACAAACGAGCACAAGAGCTGTAGGCCTAAGATAGAACCCTGAAAGCAATCATCCTCATCGGATGGGAAGAATAGTCTGCAATGGAGTCTGTAGAGTAGCCAAAGATAGAGAAGGAAATCCAGAATTGTAGTTGTCATAGAAACCAGGAGTGCCTGGCCCGTGTAGCTCAGCTGTTGAGGTTGGTTGGCCTGTGCACCAAAAGGTTGCTGGTTGCTAGTGCGATTCCCCATCAGAGTAAGTGCTCAAGTTGGGGGCTTGATCCCCCAGTCAGGGTGCATGCAGAAGGCAGCCAGTTAGTGTTTCTTTCTCTCTCTCCCTCTCTCTAAAATCAATAAAATCATATTTTTTTAAAAAGCCAGAAGAGAAGAATAAAAAAGGAATGGGAGTGGCTCAGTGGTTGAGTGTCGACCTATGAACCAGGAGTCACAGTTCAATTCCTGGTCAGAGCATATGCCGGGGTTTGGGGCTTAATCTGCAGGAGGGATAGCCAATAGATGATTCTCTCTCATTACTGATGTTTCTATCTCTCTCTCTTCCCCTCTCCCTTTCTCTCTGAAATCAATTAAACATTTTTTTAAACAAAAGGAATGGGAATAGCCTCTAACTAGCCTCTAATAGCTCATCTGTTAGCTCCAGGACCACAAATGATTGTTCTCTGTATGCCTACTGCTAACACAATTCCTGAATAATACCTAAAGACACTGATGGAAGTAACCAGCAGTGTCAACAGCAGGAAGATCAAGTTATGTAAGCCATAGAACTCATTGGGATCTTCCATAATAATATTTCTAGCAGAAATCAGTGAAGGACGAATGGGAGATTCATAGGCATGATGACTGTGTGAGATGTGCTTCCCACAAACCTTTTTATGACTTTGACACATTACCTTTCTGATGTGAACTTAGAAGAAAAAAAAAAAAGAATGGGAGATAAGGAAATAAAAACAGCTGGTGTTGCCAGACAAACCTCACTAGCCTGGGCCCTGTTAAGGGCAGGCCCAGGAGTTCGTTGGAAAACCCTAGGGCTGATTCTGGTCAGGGTTCCTCCCCATTTTGCTTATCACCTCAGATTCAGACTCCTAACATTTGGTTCTTTTGGTTTTCAGTATCCCATCTTTGTCTCTGGGTCTAATGCCTGGTTAATGGCTGTGAATGAGCTTTAAAAACCCCATTTTGTAAGGCTCTCATCATCCCTGCCTTAGCCATTCTCAGCCGCTCATAGAAGCACTGTGAAGTCACTGAATGGTGATTTGCAGTGAATGAACAGGTCTCCGTGAATGTGAAGATGGAGCAGAAACGGAACAGCTTTGACAAGGCAGGGCACTCTGGCCAAACCCTGTTCCTTATTGCTGCTCCCCAGCTGTATTTAACAAGGTGGTTTCTGAGGGCTATAAAACAAATAGTAAAAAGGACTTTAGACTGAGCCTTCGAGAAAGGAGCCTGAGCTGTTAGCGAAATAGGAAGAGAGAAAAATAGGTGACAGATCTGAGCTGCCACTACCTCATAGACCAGTGCCCTAAGCCTGGGCTTCGGCTGTCTAATAGTCAAGCTGGCTTAGGGCCCCAAAGACATTCAAAGTCAATGAGCTGGGGATGCTGAGCCAGCAGGACTGATGGGAGGGCTAACACCAGAACAGGCACAAAGATGCTCCTGCTTGAAAGCTAGAAATGATGTGTGTCTCTCTGGTATCCAGGTCAGGAGAGGATGTGATGAAATCACAAGCTTATTCTGCTTCAGGGAAAAAGAGAATACAGTGTCATTGCATCAAGGTCAGAGTAAGGAACTGATTGTAACTAATGTGGAATACGTAGGAGGTGACTTGGCAATGCCTTGACAACTAGATGCCAAGGCTGGTGAGGCGAGGGAGGGCTGGTTTGGGTCAGATAGGGCCTCACTGGCCCGAGAAATGTCCCTGTGAGCCAAGGAGCCCTACTCTCCGCTGCCTCTGGAGAAAGTGGGGTAGAGCAGAGTGGTGTAGGACTGATCTGAATGCAACTATTTGAGGAGAGTTGGTGGCCTTGTATTTATTTACAAGCTGTTTGGGTTTCTCCTTTTTCTGGAGACAGTAGCAGTTGTTTAGTCAGCATGAGCTGAGCCTCTCTTACGAGTTGAATACTGGGAGGAACCAGAAAGTGCTCCTGAGGAGCTGATACCTGCTAGACTTTAAGAGGAAGTGGCATAGAGGAGGAGTTAAAGGAGTTGAAAGGAGAAAGAAAGAAAGGTGAGAGCTGGAGAGGACAGGACTGGAAATGTTTCTTGCCTTAAAACATATAACATTTCGAGGTGAAAAGGAGAATTGGGAGAACATTCCAAATGGAACAGAACAGTATAAGCGTGACCTTGCCACTGGCTGGTATAATGGGATATCTGAACAGGGCTTGTAGGTCCTGTTTAGGCTTCACAAATCAAACATGTCTACGAAAGTCTGGATGAAGATGTGTGCAATCGGGCATCGGGGCAGACGGGAGCTGGTGGAGAGGTAGGCAGTTGGTTTAGAGCCAGATCATAGACCTTTAATACCAGAGAGGAGGTTATTTGTGATCCTGTGGGCAGTGAAAGTTAGTTTATGTTTGGATACTTGTTCTATGCTTATATTTCTTGGCAAGGTCAGGCCTGGCCTTTGGTCTGTACATTCTGAAGAGGGAGGCCAGGGGCCTGAGATCCCGTCTTCCTCACTAGATTGTTAGCTCCAAGAGGACAGGGGTTTCTGTTGGTTGAGGTGTCTCTGGCACTTAGAGCCTTGCCTGGCACATAGAAAGTAAAGACAAATATTTGTGTTTGGAGCATAATACGAATCCTAGAGCAGCCACTCAAGATTCAAGCCTACCTTACCTCACATGGCTATCATGGTAATGTTATGGCTGGCTGGTCCCCACTTCTGAGCCACCCTGTCTTCTTTTTTGGGAACTCTAGAACTGCCTGATAAAGAGGGATGAGAATGGCTACTCTGCGGTGGTAGCTGACTTTGGCCTGGCTGAGAAGATCCCTGACGTCAGGTGAGCAGCCCTAATAGGTACTGGTTACAGAAGCAACTAAGGCAAAAAAAAAAACACCAACACAAAACAAAAAATACACAAAATACTCCTGCTGCCTCTCCAGAGGCCAGGACTTGGTCACAGCTCAACCTCAGCTCCCTAAATTCGGTCAGTCCTAGTCTGTGCCCATCCTTGGGGGAGAAGAATCCCCAATATTGATCTCCTATTATACCGGCCAGCAACAAGCTCGTTTTCTGTATCATCTCGCCCTATAGCATGGGGAGGGAGAAGCTGGCAGTGGTGGGCTCACCCTTCTGGATGGCACCTGAAGTTCTCCGAGATGAGCCCTACAATGAGAAGGTGAGTCTGGGGGTCCCAAGGCTTGGTTGTCCTTAGAATCCACTCTTAGCAGTGTCCACCCTTCATGTTCAGGGGAGGGTCTACAACCAAGAGCAGGGCCGGTACCTGGCAGCTCCCCAGTGAATGAACTGAATAAAATATGGGCAGTAGAATCTAGGCCTGGGCTGGGGCCATGAGGGGCAGAAACCTCACTTCTCAGCCCACTGAAAGGGAAACTGAGGTCTCACTACCCACCAGGCGGACGTGTTCTCCTATGGTATCATCCTCTGTGAGGTCATCGCCCGCATCCAGGCTGATCCGGACTATCTTCCCCGCACAGAGGTGAGCTGCAGGCATGGGGATCAGTGCCACTGGGGTGGGGCTGTTTTTGAGGCTGTGGAACCATTTTGTTCTTGGGGTGGAATTGCCGGAACTTAGTATGTGTGGCTAGTTCTTAGGGGCAATTCCCAGCCTCTCCTTCTGAGCAAGCCAGGATGGATGGAGGGATTAATGACCTGTCTACCCATGTCCTCTGTTCCCTCCCCACTACACCCATTCACAGAACTTCGGGCTGGACTATGACGCTTTCCAGCACATGGTGGGAGACTGTCCCCCAGACTTTTTGCAGCTTACCTTCAACTGCTGTAATGTGAGTGCATCCTCCTGCCCCCGGCTTTGGTCAGGGGCTGGGTTCACCTGGTTAGAACTGTAGAGCGAGCCTAATTAGCCTCATGAGGGGCCTCATTTTCACTGACTGACAAATGCTCACGGCCCCTCCTCTGGAGGCCTGCCAGCCTCTCCAGAGCACTGGTCCAAATAAAGGAAAATTGCTTTGTACTATCCGCTCCTCAGCCTGCAGGGTAGACCCACCACCCCTTGCCTTAGTGGAGCTCTGGTCAGGTTTTAGTTAGACTATGGATCCAGCTGGTCCTAAGGCTAATGGGAGAGGCTCTTGTTAGCTTTCATTTTATACAGCTCTGAGGCTGGACTTACCTGTTATGACCAAGGAGTACCTGGGCTTTGTCTAGGTAACTTCGAGGAACGCATTAGCAGCAGAACTTAAGAAAGAACAAACCAATGTGAACATAACCTTTAGGAGGGTTCTGTGCCAAAAAAAAGATAAGGCACAGATGCCGAACCGGTTTGGCTCAGTGGTAGAGCGTCGGTCTGCGGACTGAAGGGTCCCAGGTTTGATTCCGGTCAAGGGCATGTATATCGGTTGCGTCGATGTCCCTCTCTCATCGACATTCCTAGCTCTCTATCTCCCTTCCTCTCTGTAAAAAATTAATAAAATATATATTAAAAAAAAAAAAAAAGATAAGGCACAGAAAGTTTGCTGAGACAGGGAAGGATATTAGATGACAGCATCTTCCTTAACTTTAGCTCTGGGAATTATCCTGAGGGTCTGCAGCCTTCAGAAAAGGTCTCTTAGCTGCACATCTGAGTCTTAAAAAAATGCTAGAATCAGACTAAAATGCTATCCTTGTGGGTGGAAGGTAGGAGGGCAGGGCTAATGGCTGCTGTGAATAACTACAGATGGACCCCAAACTGCGCCCATCGTTTGTGGAGACCGGGAAGAACTTGGAGGAAATTCTGAACCACCTACAGGAGGAAGAGCTGCAGCCCACCGCTAAGGGTAAGGCATTAGGGTTGTGGATGGAGTCTTCCCCTGTAGGGCTGTGATAGCAGGATCCTATGTCCAAGAGAAAGGTGCAGGATGGGGGACAATGGGAAAAATACTGAACTCCAAGAGTTGTGATTTGGTGTACTGCCTCCTTCTTTCAGTCTGTTTCTCACTGGTGAAATAAGGACAACAGTGCCTACTTTGTTTTCCCAAGTAAAAACACTTTGTGTAGTGCTTCTGTTTGTTATGACTAGTGCAGTAATCCTGACTTGATGTACTGTTCTCCAGGACTCCTGGAGAAAGGCTCTGGGATGAAGCGACTGAGCTCACTAGACGAGAAGATCCCTCCCAAGTCCCCACGCCCAAGACGTACTATCTGGCTGTCTCGAAGCCAGTCAGACATCTTCTCCCGTAAGCCCCCACATACAGTGAATGTCTTGGACCCCTACTACCAGCCACGAGGCGGTGCTGCCAGCACCCCCAAAATCAACCCTTTCAGTGCTCGCCAGGACCTCAAGGGTGGCAAGGTCAAGTTCTTTGACCTGCCCAGCAAGTCTGTTATTTCCCTGGTATTTGACCTGGATGCACCAGGGCCTGGAACTTTGCCTGTGGCTGACTGGCAGGAGCCCCTGGCCCCACCTGCTCGCCGGTGGCATTCTTTGCCTGGTTCACCAGAGTTCTTGCATCAAGAGGCCTGTCCATTTGTAGGCCGAGAAGAATCCCTGTCTGATGGGCCCCCACGCCTCAGTAGTCTCAAGTACAAAGTAAGAGAGATCCCGCCATTCCGAGCATCTGCCCTACCAGCTGCTCCAGCCCCTGAAGCCATGGACTGCTCCAGCTCCCAGGAAGAAAACGGTTTTGGGCCCAGGCCGCAGGGGGCCAGTCCCTGTCTTACAGGTGCCTCTGAGGAGATGGAGGTATAAGGAAGGCCAAGAGACTTGGCTCCAGTCCCCTTCTCTGTCTCAAGCACGGGCCTGAAAACCCGGGGAGAGCAGGGTGATTGAGGGGTTAATCCCTGCCTCACCTTGGGGATGGACCTTCAGCCGAAGCCACAGAGCCCCCTCGGTGCACAGTCTGGACTCTTCCCTGGAGCCCACACAGCAGGCAGGCTAGGCCAAGTCAGGCTCAATTTGGGGGCTCCACGTGCCCAGTGACCGTGAGAGGGGAGGCAGCAGGGAGAAGCCTTCCTTGTTGGGGCCAACAGCTGATTCCAAGCCTCTGAAATCCTGCAAGGAGCTCTGGCCCAGCTGACCCCCAAGGCATTTTTCTGCAGACAGGCTAGAAGACGCCTAGTTCTAGTTGGAGCTGGCAGACAGCTATTACCCCAGGCTCTTCCTCCACCCCAGGTCTGTCTGCCGCCCTTCCCTGGGACATACAGACTACTGGGTGGAACCCGCAGCTGACCAGGAGGACGAAGAAGGCATGGCTATCCCTCAGACCTGAAGCCTGGGCGCTTCTTGCCAGAATGACTAAGACACTTGAATAATTGCTGTTTGCACTTACTGCACAGTCAGACCACGTCACTACATTTCTATGCAATGGAGAGGACAAGGCAGCGTGGTGGTCATGGCTTTTAGCTAACCTAGTCAAAGACCTTTTCCAGTTCATTAACCTACCTTCCTATTTATGAAGGGAGTCTTAATGTTCTGCCTTACAAGACTTTCAACCTCGTGGTTGGGAGTGGGGCTGGTTCTGTAGGCCCTAGGGCCTGCTCCATGTATTTATCAACATGGGATACACCCAATTGGTTAAATGGTTTATACATGGACTGATTTTCTTCCTTCCCTGATATGGCTGGAGTTACGGGAACAGTCTTTATAGAGCCGCAATAAGAAATAACCAAAGATAAAGCTGGTCATACATTTTCATAACTTGTTTCTGCTGATTTTTTTGGTAAAACTTTCCCAAGACACTCCCAGACTTAAAAATAAAGTTGGTTACTACAGGTGCTGGTCAGCCTTCTTACTTGTACCATTGTTCCTCAGCCTCTGGGGTAAAGACAGTCCAGAGCGATGCAGCAGTGTCCCTGTTAGGAGCCCTCCTCCCCAACTCTGTGGTCATTAGGAATAGGACATCCGTAGGCTCGAGGGACCAGACCCGTCTGCTCTACCCTCGGCTTCTCTTCTTGGGCGCTGGGTGCTCAGCAGAAGTTAGGTCAGCTGCTGCCCCAAGCCAACTTCATCTTCTGGTTGTGGGCTTTGGAGGAACGGGAGAACTGGCTCTTGGCCACCGTGAGGGGCACAGATTTGCCACTCAGGTATACCTTGTTGTGGCATTCAGGGAGCCAGGGTCCAGAGCTATCGGGCTGAGGTTCTTGGCTTACTCCCATGTAGGCCATCACATAGCCTGTCATAAAGGCATCAAAACCAGCCCGATGCAGTCCATCTCCCGGCACTGGGTTAGGGCTGGCCTGACTCTCTGGTGCTTCTGAGGCAGCCGTGTCAGCTGTTTCAGGCTTTATTGCTGTAGGTCCCATCTCCAAGTCATTTTTGTGATCTTGCTCAGAGGCAAGCTGGTTGCTGGCCTCATCCTCAGCCACCTCCAGCTCCGTTTCCTCAGCCTGGACACCATCCCCACAGACCTGCTTAGTGGGAGGACCATCCTCGGCTTCCCCAGGGTTCTGTTTCCCAGACAGACCCAACAAGGCCCTCCGTCGCTTTTCCTTACGTCGCCGCCGGCGCCGCTTATCCTTTGTGGCAGTTTCATCCGTGTCAATGATGAGGTCAATATCATGGGACCGAGGACACTGGGATCCCAAGGGGCACCAGCCGTAGGCCTAGGGGCAGGAAAGAGGCTGAGAGAGGGGTTCCAGGTGTTAGAACCGCCCCTCCCCCAGGAAATGGGTGGGAGTTCTCACCGAGAAGTTATCACAGATGACGGTGCTATGAGGACGGTGGGCTGCAGGGGGCATACAGCAGCGGTAGTCTACATGGGCCCTCATGCCAGAAGGATAGCTGCAGAACTCCAGGATAAGGTGTGGGCTGCCAGCTGCCCGCTGCTTTCCATTTTCCCGCTCACTGGAATAGCGCAAGAGGGTATTGGTCCACTAGCATATAAGCTCCATGCGAACAGGGGTTTTTATCGGTTTTGTTCACTGCTGAATCCTCAGCACTAGAACAGTGCCTGGCACGTGACAGGTGCTCAATAAGTATAAAATAGGTTTATACCAGGCCCCACCGCTTCCCTTCAACCAGTCCCTTACCATTTCCGGAAGGCATATTCTAGGTAGGAGGCCACAAAGCGGGCATGAAACTCGGCAGCGTATTTGGTGTCATAAATGCCAGCTGGGAACATTTCACACAGGTCAGCGGTGAAGGTTCCCAAGGTCTCGGGCAGATGTGCATAGAAATTCTGGTACAGGAACACCAAGTCTATGAGACCATTGTGCAGTATGAGGGGCCGGCGGGCCCGGATCAGCTCCAGGAACAGTGTCCTCACTGACTGGCTCTGGCTCTCATCGCCCTGGTGGGAGAGAGAGGGGTCACGGGGAAGGGCTGAGCCCATGCCCTCTTTCACAATATATTTATCCCGAGCTCTCCCTCCTGGAAAGCGCTCCCTCCACACCTACCCCAATGCTCTCCACCCACATATTGGTCTTATTTCCCCAGCCCTGTCTGGTGCCTGCCTAAGAAGCAGGTCCTCCTGCATATCCAGTCTGTGGTAGGAAGAAGATGAAATCACAGAAGAGGCAGCCTCAAGGCTGGAGACCTACCTTGTCGTTGCCCTTATGGTACGGGATACCCTGGGCGTACTGCCTGTTGAAGTTGAAGCCATGCTGTACCAGGAACTGCACAGACTTTGGTTCTATGACATACTCTTCCACGCACAGCAGGGTCAGATTGAACACCTGGGTCAGGTATGAGTGTTCACCCTGGGAGAGGAAGAGGATTCGCTACATCAAAACCTCACATGGGGAACATTATGTGTGGCCCACTGGTTGAGCATGGACCCATGAAACAAAGGTTCATGGTTCAATTCCCGATTTTGGGCTTGATCCCCAGTAGGGGGTATGCCTGAGACAGCTGATCAATGATTCTCATCATTCATGTTTCGATCTCTGCCTCTCCCTCTCTCAAATTAATAAAAACATTTAAAAAAACAACAGAAGAACCTTACACATAATGTTCCCCAGGATCTCTACCCTCCTTTTACCCCAGCCACAAACCTGGAAAGGGAATGAAATCAGCACATACCTTGTCTGGCTGCTGCTTGAAGCAGGCGAGGCCCAGGGAGAGGATAGAACGGGTCCTGGCAGCATGACATATGGCCTTATATCGTTCTTCGACGCACCTTGGGGTTGGGTTTGGGGGGTGGCTGTGGCTAGGAGTAAGCCTCATGAAGGGCCCAAACCACCCAGCATGACTTCCACCCCAGGGCTAAGGTTTGCCCCCATGTCCCCTCGTCAGGGTTGGAACTAAAGAGATCACAGATTATACTTACTGGTTCAGCAAACTCTTCCTGTCCCCAAGCCCACTCAGTTCCTAAGGGTGGTTAAAGGGAGAGCTGAATTAGGTCCCCAACACCAGCCCTTTCACAATCTTCTGCCCTCCTAGTTCCCCAACCCTCACCGTGTCTACAGCCACGAAGCTAGCTGTCTTTATGGCCAGCAGAAGGGACGGCCACATCTCCTTAAAGTTGTCACTTTGCACATCCAGCACTGGAACCTGGACTACCGGCTCTTCCCCAGGTTTTGTGCTTTTGCTGACACTATCTGGGGGTAAGGAGAACAGAATAATGGAAGTTAATGATCAGGTAAGGGAGACAGGGAGCTAGGCCATGGCTTGGGGGGCATTTTCCATGACGGCAAGAAATGGCAGCTCTCTCCCTCAAGCCTTTATATTAGCATGCTCTACACACAGATCTTGAAGTAAACAGTGCCTTTCTCCTTGAGGAGAAAAAGCCTGGGTCTTCCAGCGACTTATGTTAGACTTTGGGAAAATCACTTCTCCCTCAGCATCACTATCTGTAGAAGTTTGGACAAGATCAGTGGTCGGCAAACTGCGGCTCCACGAGCCACATGCGGCTCTTTGGCCCCTTGAGTGTGGCTCTTCCACAAAATACCACGTGCGGGCATGCACGTACAGTGCGATTGGAACTTCGTGGCCCATGCGCAGAAGTCCGTTTTCGGCTCTCAAAATAAATTTCAATTATTGTACTGTTGATTTTTGGCTTTGTTGACTAATGAGTTTGCCGACCACTGGACTAGGTTCCCTTTTCCCATGTCCTGCAGCAACTATTTGTTACAGCTTCAGGAGTTCAGCTCCTTTAATATCCCATCAGGCTCCATACTACCCTTCCCTTGGTGCCCTCGCAACCACAATCCCCGGAGCCGCCTAATAATTAGGCCCCAGAGATAATGCCCTACACCTGGCTTCCCTATACATCACACTTCCTTTGGACCACAACTCCCAACCTGCCCCACTTAAGAGAAGTGAGTTCCAGACTACATTTCCCGACATGCCCGCCCACGATCCTCACTGTGCTCTTAGCACTCCAGGCTTTCGCAGCCCGAGCCGCGGTGCACACTGGGACTTGTAGTCTCCTCGCGGCTAGTTAAGAAGGGAGAAGTTAGTCCTCCGAAACTTGAGGTCGGTTTCTAGAACTATGAGCCAGAGGCCTTCCCCTCCCCCAGGGCGCACGGGCTTTTCAGTCGGCCCCTGAAAAGCCACTCACTGTCAAAGATCGCCGGAGCTGCGCCATCGTCACTGTCGCCTGCCATGACACCGCGCGGCCCTTGCCTTGACTAGTCGGTGGCAAGAAACGGCAGGACTTCCGCTTTGTCTCCAGGCGCGACTAACGCGTTCGAGGGTAGGGGCAGGCTCTGGCCTCCGGAAGTCGCTGAGCGGCGGGAGTTCCGTTCAGACCTTCGGGGTCTGGCGCGCAGCGGGTTCGGAGCGTCCTGGGATCCTATTGGCTGTCACGGTGGAGCTCGCCGCCCGGATTGGCCGGAGCCACGCCCCCGGGGCCGTGGGTAGCCGGACACGTGAAAACGTGGGAGGTAATTCTTCGTGTACGTGCTGTGGGGACGTGGGCGTGATCTTCGCGGACACGGCTCCGGGGTAGGGGTGGGTGTCCCCAGAGGAGGTGGCGCTGCCAGAGCTAAGCCTAAAGCAGCCGTAGGAGTCAGACAAAGACCGGGGAAGGTGGGGGGAAGATGTCTGTGCTGGGGAAGGGCGAGGTCCCTGCGAGGATGGAACTCACCGCGTTCCAGAAAGTGAAAGGCGGGGAGGAGGACTCGAGCCGAGGCTGCAGAGGGGTTAGAGCGATCCACTAGCAGGGGAACTTCTGAAATAACCCAGGCTGGGACGACGAGGAAGGGACACATTGTAAGCAACTTGGAGGTACAGGCGATCCAAGGTGGTTGGACATGACTCCTGCTGCTGTGAGCGAGGTGTGCCCACCAGAGGCACCGCGCTTTCCCTGGAGCTGCAGGTCCCATCCTCTCAGCCCAGCAAGGACTCAGCGCTTTCTCCGTGGTTACTCACTGTTCCTTGTTCATTTTCAACTTTTCTACTGAGTCTTTTTCATCATTATTCAGAATTGTTTTGATTTCTCCTACTCTAAAAAAAAAAAAAAAAAAGGAAAATACTTCCATCCCAGGAATTAACAAGTATTTACTGTATACAATTTACCTAGAACTGTGCTCAGTTCAGAGGATACGACAGTCACCAAAAGAAACCCAGGATTTGCTCTCATAGAGTTTTACAGTCAAGTTGGGGAAGTGGACACTGATTAAAGAAGCAAAAAAAAAAAAGTGTAATTGCAATTGGTGTAAGGGCAATAATGGAGAAATACACAAAAGGGTAGGACTGGGGGGACCTGATGTGGACAGTTAAGTCAAGGCCTGAAGAATGAGTAGATGTCAGGTAGAGCATAGAAGAGCTGTCCAAGTAATTGGGTCAGGCCTTAAGGTAGACAGACACTTGGTGGGTTGAAGCATCTATTTCAGGCAAACATGGCTGGAGCACAGTGATCTAGGTGATGAGGCAAATGGGGCCCTGGAGCTTCCAGGTTGAGAACCATTAGCAGGGTCCCCTAAGACCATCGGAAAACACAGATATTTACAATACGATTCATCAGAAGTAGCAAAATTACAGTTATGAAGTAGCAACAAAAATAATTGTATGGTTGGGGGTCACCACAACATGAGGAACTGTATTAAAGGGTCACGGCATTAGAAAGGTTGAGAACCACTGATAGGGTCTTGTGTACATGAAACTGTTGGAAAAAGGTTGCTGCAAGTACAGTAAGGGAGAAATGAAAATCAACCAGATGCATCTTATCTTTGCTAACGGTCAGCTGGCTATGATCTACCGGTAGATCGCAGAGATTAGGCATAAAAATAGCTCATCTCTCTCCCCCCCTCCCTGATTTGACATCTGCTCTCAGGCAACTCTTTTCTTCTTTTTGATCCTTGGTTTCTCCTTTCTACAGAATGAAGGTTTGGACTAGATGACTGTTAAAGACTGCTTCATTGTCAATGTGCTGCATCTCCAAGCAGGTAAACCTCCTACCCACTGCCGTGCTCCTAGACACATCTAAAGAACCCCTGTCCACACACATGGTCACATAAGCATCAGATATGCACAGGTGCTCCCGCACAGGAAGCTTTTGGTCCTTGACCCAGCCCAGCCCCGGCCTCTTACTTTGTGTACATCTCCAGGACTATACTGCTAGTCCCTCTTAGGCCATCTGGAGAAACTCAGCCCTGTCGGTCATACCTCAGTGCCACAGCCAGTCAAGAGCAAGCCCATGAGCATCTAGAGAGTTGTTTGTTTTAGAAAATACGTTTTTATTGGTTTTTCAGAGAGGAAGGGAGAGGGAGATAGAACCATCAAATGGCTGCCTCCTGCATGCCCCCTACTGGCTCCTGTATACCCCTCCCGAGGATAGAGCCCACAACCTAACCTGGGGATTTGACCTGGCCAGGAATTGAGCCAGTAAGTTCAGCTTTTTTCTCATAGTTGTTGAGGAAAACTAGACACCATGTGAATGGTGTAAGGAAGGAGGTGGCTCTCCACCCCCTACAGGGCCCCAAGATTCAGCCTAATTTTGACTGACTGCTTTGGCTGGGCCTTTGTGTTCTAGATCGTCATGAAGAAGCCAGGAGCAGCTGGAGGAAGTCGTCCCAGGAAGCAGACATCCAGCCGGGAGGAAAAAAAGAAACGTGCCCTCAGTAGCAGCCAGGCCAGGCCTTCTCCCCCTGATGGTGAGGAGCTTGGACCTAGTTAAAAACTCATGGGCTAGTCTCACTGGCTCTGAAAGGGGGCAGAGTCGAGCCTGAAGGGACTAATTCTGACTTTGCAATGCGATTTTGGGATAATTGCTCTGAATGGCTGCTTTCTGGCCAGTGACACGGGGCAGTAGCCTGTGCATTTTCTTCCTCACGTGGCTTTCATAGGATCAAATGGGTTGATCTGCCTGAAAGTGGTTTGTAAATGGGAAATCCCTGCACAGGTATCCCTGCTTGGCTGAAACTGTTGGATTTTCATTTTGACCCAGAGAAAAGGGAGCCAGCAGTACCACTCTGGGAAGATTAAGGCTAGAGACTTGGCCAAGGCTCTCACAGCTAGATAACTTTGGACTGACTGCAGGTCAAGAGGTCAAGGGTGGGGGGAGCCCTCAGTGGAAGCGGACTGCACCCAGGCTGTCGTGTCCCAGATCCCTGGTGCACAGCCTGTGCAGGGACAACTCCTGAGTTTCCTGAGCCCCCTGCAGGCCAGGCCAGGCGTCAGGAGGAGGGGGCATTGCAGGCCTCTGTCTCCCCGTACCATCAATTCGGAGATACAGCCGAGGTCACAGCCTTCCGAGAGAGCCTGCTGAGCTGGTATGACCTAAAGAAGCGGGACCTCCCCTGGAGAAGGCGGGTAGGCAGGCGAGGGACAGGGCCGGGGCGGGAGGCTAGTGCCCAGCCCCCTCCACGCTAACTCCCCGTCCGGGATTGCCTTGGCAGGCAGAGGGGGAGGTGGACCTGGACAGGCGGGCGTATGCGGGTGAGTACATCTCCTGGGAACAGAGCTGCTCTTTGCCCGGACCCCCTCAGATGGGAATCGGGGCTCTGGGCCAGGAGCAGGGCAGGTCCGCAGTGTCCTCACGCCCACCCCTCCTCCCCAGTGTGGGTCTCAGAGGTCATGCTGCAGCAGACCCAGGTTGCCACGGTGATCAACTATTATACCAGATGGATGCAGGTGACGTCAGGGAACGAAGGGGCGGGTGACGGGCCAGACCCCAGATGAGAGCCTGGCTTTGGGCTGGGGGTCGGGGGAAGGAAGGCCTCCTTTACCCCCCTCACCCTCGACCTCTCTATTTGTGCCTGTCTTCTGGCTATAGAAGTGGCCAACACTGCAGGACCTGGCCAGCGCTTCCCTGGAGGTGAGACCCACCCTAGGGGAGGGGGAAAGGAGGACCACGGAGGACGGAGTGCTGATTTCTCTGACCTCTGACCCCACCCACAGGAAGTGAACCAGCTCTGGGCCGGCCTGGGGTACTACTCTCGAGGCCGGCGGCTGCAGGAGGGAGCCCGGAAGGTGAGGGGGTGGCAGGGAGGGCGGGGTCCCCAGGCCCTCAGATGTCTCCTAACCTTGAGCCTCTCCCACCTCCGCCAGGTGGTGGAGGAGCTTGGGGGCCACGTGCCTCGCACAGCACAGACCTTGCAGCGGCTGCTGCCTGGCGTGGGGCGGTACACAGCGGGAGCCATCGCTTCCATTGCCTTTGGCCAGGTGAGCCTGTAGTCCACCCCCGTTTTGTGCAAACCCCCTTCCTCCCGGCCCAGCTGACTCCTGCGCTCCTGTGCGTCAGGTGACCGGGGTGGTAGATGGAAATGTGGTGCGGGTGCTGTGCCGCGTCCGAGGCATTGGTGCTGATCCCAGCAACACCTTCGTCTCCCAGCAGCTCTGGTAGGATATGGGGGTGTTGCAGGACACTGTGGAGGGGGCCTCCAAAGGACTTTGCCTCACAGAAATGTTCCCTTCTGGTAGGAGCCTGGCCCAGCAGCTGGTAGATCCGGCCCGGCCCGGAGACTTTAACCAAGCAGCCATGGAGCTGGGGGCCATGGTGTGCACTCCGCAACAGCCACAGTGCAGCCAGTGCCCTGTGCAGAGCCTGTGCCGGGCACACCGGAGGGTGAGCCATCTGGGGAAGGGGCAGCGAGGTCCTAGGGGGTGCCCCGTGCCCCGTGACTTTCTTCCCTGTGCCTGTCAGGTGGAGCGGGAGCAGCTGCCAGCCTCACAGAGCCTGCCAGGCAGTCCGGACGTGGAGGAGTGTGGTGAGTGCTGGTTCTAGCCCCAGCCCTTCCCTGCAGCGTCACTGAGCTGCCTGGGAAGCCTCCTTCTAGCCCATCCTACAACCTGAGTTAGATTCTGCAGAGCTGGGCCAACCCCTGCTCTCTGGGCCTGGCACTTAAGCCCACGTGGCCTGAGTGGGGCTTGGGGATTTCTGTTCCCAGCTCCCAGCACCGGGCAGTGCCAGCTGTGCGCGCCTCCCACAGCGCCCTGGGACCAGAGCCTGGGAGTGGCTAACTTCCCCAGGAAGGCCAGCCGTAAGCCCCCCCGGGAGGAGTGCGCTGCCATCTGCGTTCTGGAGCAGCCCAGGGCCCCCGGGGGGGCCCGGATTCTGCTGGTGCAGAGGCCCAGCTCAGGTACCTGGATCCTGGGAGTGGAGGGCTGTGGTGTGAGCAAAAGGGGAGAGATGGAGGAGTCAACAGCGGAGGCCTAACTCACCTGCTGACGGCTGTCTCAGGTCTGCTGGCAGGGCTGTGGGAGTTCCCCTCTGTGAGTGTGGATCCCTCGGGACGGCATCAGCACAAGGCCCTGCTGCAGGAGCTGCAGAACTGGGCTGGGCCCCTCCCCGCCACCCACCTGCACCACCTGGGGCAGGTAAATGAGCAGCGAGGGGGCCAAAAGGGGTGGCTTTTTCAGCCGCACCCACGGGCCTGTTTCAGCCCCTTGGTCCTCCCCCAGGTGGTCCACACCTTCTCTCACATCAGGCTGACCTACCAAGTGTATGGCCTGGCCCTGGAAGGGCGGGCCCCAGTGACAGGCACAGCTCCTGGCGCTCGCTGGCTGACCCGGGAAGAGTTTCACACCGCAGCCGTCTCCACCGCCATGAAAAAGGCACTGTCTTTATTGTCTTTGTTGTGCTTTCTACATGTTCTGCATGAACCCATTACCATAGAAACAGAGAAGGACAGGGTTCTGGCTCTTTGGAGGAAGATGCCAGCCCTGCACGCCCCCCTCTCTTCTTGGCTAGGTGTTCCGCGTGTATGAAGGCCAACAGGCGGGGACCTGCAAGGTGAGTCCCCTGGCCCTCGCCCAGCCATCTCTCTCCCTCGGGCTGAACCCACAGGTTCTCAGTGAGTTAAGTGACACCGTAGGGTGAACATTGTCCCCTCCGAGTTTCGCCAGGCGGCGAGGAGTGACCTAGAGGCCTTATAGCGAAGGACCCAGGTGGAGAGGGGACAAGAGGAAATGATGGGGAGACAGTGGTGTCAGATGCGTGAAATGTTTGTGCTATACTTTGTGGGATGTGAGGCGGGGAGCTCTCCGTTCTGTCTGGGAGGGAAGGGTCAGGGGAAGGCTGCTTCAAAGAAGTGGCTGGTAATGTGGGTCCTAGAAATGAATCGTTTTCTCCAGGTTTGGGAAGGGAATCAGCAATAAGGATGTTCTTCCAGGCCCAGGAATAGTTTAGCCCTGGTTTGTGTTGCTCGGGGGTTAGATCTTGGCTTGAGCACTGAAGGGTTCTGGTCAAGGGCAGCATGTACCTGGGTTACAGGTTTGATCCCCGCCCCAGCCGGGTCTGTGCATGAGACAACCATTCAACGTTCTCTCTCTCTCTCCCTCTGAAAAATCAATGGAAAAAATATCCTCAGGTGAGGATTAAAAATCAATGGAAAAGGGTGAGGATGAACAAAACAATGAAAAGTAGTGTAAGTAATGGTGGACCCAGTGCAGTCGGCATGGGTGAGGAACTCCGAGCATCTAGCTGGGGCAGTCAGCCGGGCACGAACACCAGCCCACTGAGCATTTTAGGTGGCGAGAGGAGTCAGACTTATATTTGAGGAAGATTACCTAGGACTGCCGTTTAGAGAGCTGATGGAAGAGGTAGATTCTGGAGACAGGTTGGGAGCTTTCAGGCCAGAGTCTGAGCTAGACCAGTGGCCTGGGATAGAGGTGAAAGCAGAATATTCGTCACTGTCCCCCTCAGTGCCTTCTTTGGCTTCCAAACAGCGTCCCAAAAGATCCCAGGTGTCCACTGCCTCCCGCCGGAAGAAGCCCAGCCCAGGCCAGCAAGTCCTGGACAGATTCTTTCGGCCCCGTATCCCCACAGATGCACCTACACCCAACAGTACGGCCCAGTGACGCATCTGGAAGCCCCTCCCCTTGAGAATCCCGTTTTTTAATAAAGTACTTATTTTTATAGTCATTTTGGAGACTTTCCATTCTCTGCCTACCCCCCTTGCTCCTCACCTCTGAGGGATCCAGGAAGTGGTCAGACCTGCTTGCTCCTGACTTGCTCTGGCTGAGCTCCCAGCCAGCCCCGGGCAGATAGGGGAGCATGTTCTCTCCAGAGTAACCTGCCCGCCCTCAGCCCCAGGAGAGGGGGAAGGCAGCTGCAGGAAGTACCGCCGGCGGCCGATACCCCACACCTTCATCCCAGGTGTCTGGTTCGGTAGCGGTGGAATCGCTCTAGAGCAGGTGGTTTGGCTCGGCCCTGACCTAGCCCCTCCCTCCCTTTTGTGGCTGCTCCTGAGGGAGAAGGGAAGGAAGCACAGAGGAAGATTTGCTCTTAAATTCCTACCTCAAATAAGAAATCATTTATTTAGGGATAAATTACACAGGTAGTGAATCAATACAGAAAAGCAAGGGGTTAATAATCCTAAAATTGGGAGTGGAGGAAGGGAAATGTGGTCAGAGAACATAAAAGTCTTCAAGAGCATTGGTTATGTTCTATTTCCTAAAGGAGTAACACTCCTTTATTCTTTATATCTCCCATATCTATTAGATAGAGAGCGTAAAAAGTGTTTTATAGTTAAAAACAAACTGACTTCTTTGGACCCCAGTGAGAGACTCAACTTCTGGCAGGTGCTGCTGGATGGCGGCCACACCTGGCCCCAGGGACAAAGCCTTACTCCACCGGCCTGTGCGGAACCCCCAGGCCTCTAGGACAGGTGGCTGCCAGCTCCGGCTTCCTGGCCCCTGGCAGCCTGCTCCTCCACGGACTGCCACAGGGCCTGGATGTTGCCCTGGCCAAAGCCTGTGGCCCCCTGCCTCTGAATCAGCTCCAGGAAGAAGGTGCCCTCCTCAAAGAGGGACTTGGTGAAGACCTGGAGCAAGAACTTGCCTTTGTCGCCGTCTAGCAGGATCCCCTGCAGGGCCAGCTGGTCGGGCTCATGGCCTGCAGCGAGGATCTGACTTTCCTTGCCTGGCCGCTGGTAGTAGGCCTTAGGAGGGGTCAGGAGCTGGCCCCCCGCCAAGGTCACCCCTTCGGTGGCTTCTATGATGTTTGGTGTGTACAGCCCCACGTGCTGCAGGCCTGGTCCTCTGTGCTGGGCCAGGAACTGCTGCACCTGGTCCAGGCCCCCGGCGGCCCCCGGCAGGGACTCCGCTAGCACGAGGGTGGGGACAGCACTGCCTGGCGGGGTCTGCAGGGCAGTGAGCCTCAGCCCCCCTTGTCCGGAGCCCGCTGTCACCTCAAAGCCCAGCTCCGGGTCCTCACCTGGGCTCAGAGGCAGGTGGTGAAAGCCTAGACAGTCCTGGAACCAGCGCATCAGGCTAGGGGAGCTGCCGCGGGTGCAGGCCAGGGTGAGGTGGTCCACATGGCTGAACCAGCCGCGGCCGGTGGTGGAGGGCAGAGGCCGGAAACCGGGCAGGAAGGGCCCGCGGTAGTCGGTGCGCTCCAGCAGCGTCAGGCTGAGGTTGCCCGCGGGCGAGCTGACCACGGCGTAGGTGGCGGCGCCCAGCGCATCCTGCACGCGGACCGGGGGCACCGGCACGCAGCAGCCCTTCGCCGCCAGCGCCCGGGCGGCCGCCCCCGCGTCCGCCACCTCAAAGCACAGGTTGGCGGCGCTGGGCACGGGGTGGCGCGGGTCCAGGCCGTAGAGCGGCTGCGGGCCGCCCGCGCCCTCGTTCACCAAGAAGACGGCGTGGCCGCTGCGCAGCGCCAGCTGCCGCCAGCCGCCCGCCGCCCGCGCCGCCAGCGGCTGGAAGCCGAAGAGGCGCTGCAGGTCCCGGGCGAGCGGCTGCCCCGCGGGCACGTGGAAGGCGATGTGGCACAGCCGGCGCGCGGGCGCGGCCATGGCGCTGCGGCCGGTGACCGCGGACTGTCCTTCCCCTGGGCCGCTCACTGGCCTCCGGGGCGCTCCGTCGCGAGCTCGTCGTCGGAGGCCGCCGGTGGCCCCGCTTTGCCGGCAGAGCGCGTTCCCAGCACGTTTCGGGGAGAAGTCGCAGACCGACCCTCCTGGGTGCGTGCGGTGCCTCCTACCACCCCAACCTGGAGATCCCCAGGGACCACCGGTCCCCGGGGCGAGCGGTGAAAACCACGTGGAGCCGGTGCTGGGCGGGGCGGGGCGAGGGGCGGGGCCGGAGGCTCCGAGGCCGAATTCCCACGCCCCCGCCCGGGCCGGCGCGGAGGGAGCAGCGGGGGCCGGGCTGCGCCTTCCCGGGACGCACTGAGCGGCCCTCCCCGACTCCGGAGTCACAATAGCTGCCTTCACTCGTTGCCGGCGCTGGCTCTCATCCCGCAACCTGGGAGCAAAGGGTATCTGCCCCAGCTGGGAGAGGAGCCACATTCTCCCCCGCAAGCAAGGGATATTTTATTTGCAATTTCATGTTTTAGCTTAAAAATTCTGGAGAATTTTGTTTTTAGTCCTAATATCCCTTTAAGACTTTAAAAATATTTTAGGATATTTAACAGAAAGCGTTTAACTTTAAAACGTCTTAGGTGAGAGCCCTGGCGGGTAGCTCAGTTTGTTAGAGCATCGTCCAGATGCACCAAGCTTGCAGGTTCCATACCTGGGTTAGGGCACATACAGGAGTCAACCAATGATTGCACAAACTGACACCCCCCCCCCCCTCTCTCCCCCTCTTCCTTTCTCTTTCTCTAAAAGCAATCAATAAAAATTTTAAAAAATGTTTTAGGCTATAGGTTTTCATTCCCTGCCCAACATGGACCAGAGAAAGGAATAGTATAGGAAGATATGGCTTCTAGATAGGCTTCCTTTCTTTTGAGCAATCTCTCAGCTCCACCTGTCTCTTTCTTCAGCCCTGTTTTTCTCCCAACATCATGTTAGCGCCTTGTCCCAAGCAGGAAACAAGCTAGTGGTTCAGGACCTGAGAGAAACAGCTGCACTGGTGTCCTTTCTCCCCTGCTGAGCCCTGTGGGACTGAACTCCAGCCCTCCGTGTCCTCTGTAGCTTCCTGACTTTGTAGGTGGAGCTTCCAGGGGTGTTTCTGGCCTCGAGCCCCAGAAGTGTGTGGTGTAACTGGATTGAGGGAATTAGACTTCTGGGACTTTTATCTCAATGTTTGTCCCACTGTTCTTCCATGGTCCTAGCTAGCAACCTGCAAGTCATTTTTCTTTTCTTTTTCATCAAATGTATACGGGTAACACTGGTTAACAAAATGATATAGGTTTCAGGTGCACAATTCCAGGACACTTCTGTTCACCACCCAAGTCAAGTCTCCTTCCATCACCATGTATCCCCCATACTCTCCTTGCAAGTAATTTTTGAACCTCCCTGTCCCTCAACCCCAGTCAATCACCAGGCCTCTGCACATTTCCATATCTCCCAAACCATCACATCTTGCTTCATCCCACCCCCTCAAGTCCCCTTACTGTCTCCTCCCCACCTAGGCACTGCAAGACCTTCTAATTGCCTCCCTGGCTTCAGGCTTTTTCCCCTCCAAATCACCCTTTGGCTAGAGTTAGCTTTGAGAAATGCAAATCTGATTATGTTACTGACAGGTTTAAAACCCTTCACTAACATTTGGGATAAAGAAAAAAAAAAATCCTGTGGCTGATTAGACCCTGCCAGCATATCTAGTCTTATGGGTTCTTTTTGGTTAAACTGTCCAACTCCCCTATATTGTAGTTTCTTGACAATTTTATGCTCCCTCCCACTCAGACCTTTTGTCTTTGCTGTTCCCTCCTGTCTTGACCTGGCTAACATCTTCTTAATCAGTAGGTCTCAGTGAAACCTTTCAAGATCTCTTCCCCCCACCCTCTCCCCACCCCATTGTTAGTGCCTAACAGGAGGGTCTGCATAAGGTGGGAGCTCAATACAGTCAACTTAATGAACCAACTCAGGCCTCCAAGGCCAGGTGGGTAATTACCAGACGGTGCAGTTTCTCACATTACCTCTAGGTGTCAGCCTTGGCCTCAGCTTAACCAGGCCTTGTCTGAGAAGGGCCTTAGCAGGAGGGGCCCTGGCTGAGTGGGTGCCCAACCATAAGCTCTGGGAAGCTTTATGGAAACACAGCTTCTCCCCCATCTGCTCTGGCTCAGCTGCCTTGAAAGGGTGACCAGTCATCCCAGTTTCCCCCAAACTGAACTTTCATGCTCCCAGGATGTGGAACTCTCAACCCTAAAACTGGGACAGGCCCAGGCTAATGGGTGAATGGGTTCCACCAGGGGCAGAATGGCCCAAACCCCCAGGTCTGCACCAGATAAAGTCTAGGCCCAGCAGGGGCCTAGAAAAGGTCTTCGTAGCAACACCACTGGTGGGCTGGCCTGGCAGTCTGATGATTGTAAGAATGTGGGAAGAGAAAGCTATATATGCTTTAAATGACTATTAAAAGACCTACTATGTCTGACAATAGCTGCCATTTATTGAGTGCTACTGAGTATAACACACCTATTTACAACGTCCTCACAGAAACTCTTAACAGTACAGATTATCCCCCTTCTAGAGACAAGAAAAAAGACAGCCGAAACCGGTTTGGCTCAGTGGATAGAGTGTCTGTCTGTGGACTGAAAGGTCCCAGGTTCGATTCCAGTCAAGGGCATGTACGTTGGTTGTGGGCACATCCCCAGTAGGGGGTGTGCAGGAGGCAGCTGGTTGATGTTTCTCTCTCATGGACATTTCTAGCTCTCTATCCCTCTCCCTTCCTCTCTGTGGAAAATCAATTTAAAAAGAAAAAAGAAAGAAAAAAGACTCAGAGAGGTTAAGTGACCAGCGCAAATCACACGGCTGTTAAACAACATGGTGAAATTCAAACCCATGTCTGCCCAACTACAGAGCTCCTTTCATTTTACACTGACTCTCCAGCCTGGCCCTCTCCCTCCTGCTCCAGGCTCCATGGGGAGTCCCGGGCTGGAGGAAGAGGTATGAAGCAGGTGTGGGTGGAAGAGACTGAGGAAGAAGGGCTGTGACTAGAGCCGGGGTGGGTAGGTGGCATGGCCAGCGTGCTGCCCACACTAGAGTGGGCTCTGCACCTTGAACTGGGACTTCTGTTGTGACACCAGGCTGTGCCCGCGTGGCCGGAGCCAGGGCTGTGCTTCCCAGAGTCCGGGACGACCCCAGCCGGCTCTTATCTGATTGCGAATGGACATCTGGACATGGGAGAGGCCCAGGGGAAGAGCCATCAGGAGCCAGCCATAAACTGGAGGGGCACGTGAGGGCTGGGGGATGGGTGGAGGCTGTGACAAGGGTCACCCTAAGCACAATGCCTCCCTAAAGTTTGGTCTCAGTGAATGCATGCAGTTAATGACGCAGCCAGCTGCCTCTCTTTCACGGAGATATTTAAGACCGAGTTTTGTTTTTGCCCATGTGGTGGTGGTTCAGGAACTGAGCTGCTTTTGAATATTAACCAAGCGTTGGTTGTATAGAAGTGTGAGCAGAGGAGTGACTTTGGTTAGGCAGAGCCCCGGTGTGCGCTCACTGGTCTGACAAGCAGATGTTTGTTTCACAGGAGGTACAGTAATCCAGCCTCTGGGGTCCTTTACCTTCACAAACAGCATGCAGACATCCCTCAAGAATTTCTCTGGCAGAAGGTGCTTTGGGCCATGCAGTTTCATTTTATTCCCTAGGTGCTATCCGAAGGCTTTAAGGTACAAATCTGTCCGGGGCCATCTTGGCCTCAGACCTGCCCAGCCTCAGAACCTGGTGAGGCTGGTGCCCTGGGCCAGGTCTGCCCCCTGGCTGTACTCTCCCAGCCAAGTAACCAGGGGGCTGGAACCTGAGTGAGTCCTCTCCGGTCTGGGCCATGTTTCTGCGCTCCCCTAGCTGGCCTTCTACCTGAGAACTGGGCTTTGTACGTTCTAAGACAGGTTGGGGGTCTTGGCATAAAGCCAGGAAGGAGAGGAGAGAAACCATTGATTACACTGCCTTATAGACAGGACTCTTCTGTCCTTCATCCTGAAAATACCCAGTGTGTTCCAATGGGGACTAACGGGAGGAGGAACTTGAGAAGCAGTCACCAACAATGTACTATCACAAGTGATGTGGGACCTCTTGCCAGGAGCTCTCGGAAGACAGTGAGCTGATGCAGTGAACAGCACATGATTTTAGAGTCCGACAGAATTGAGTTCTGCTACTTTCTTGCTGTGTGACTTTGGGAAAATTACTCAGCCTCTCTGAATCTTGATTTCCTCAACTGATAAATAAGGGTGATACTAGCAATGTCCATGTCACAGGTTTGAGGTCTAAATTTGCTCGTCAATGCACACAACGCCCTAAACAAGTGTATAAAAATGATATTTATTGAGTGCTTATTATGGGGCAGGCCGTGTGTAAATGCCTGATAAGCTCAGTATGAACTCATATCACCCTGTGAGTTGTGTACTCTCATCGTCTGTGCTTTATTTTATTTTATTTATTTATTTTTTAAAATATATTTTATTGATTTTGTACAGAGAGGAAAGGAGAGAGATAGAGAGCCAGAAACATCGGTGAGAGAGAGTCATCGACCAGCTGCCTCTTGCACACTCCCTACTGGGGATATGCCCGCAACCAAGATACATGCCCTTGACCGGAAAAGAACCCAGGACCCTTCAGTCCCCAAGCCGACGCTCTTATCCATTGAGCCAAACTGGTCCCGGCTGTATTTTATTTTTTAAAAATGTATTTCATTAATTTTTTTACCGGAAGGAAGGGAGGAGAAGAGAGAGTTAGAAACATCGATGAGAGAGAAACATCAATCAGCTGCCTCCTCCTACGTACCTGCTACCGGGGATGTGCCCAGAACCAAGGTATATGCCCTTGACCGGAATCAAACCTGGTACCCTTGAGTCCACAGGCCGATATTCTATCCACTGAGCCAAACCGGTTAGGGCTCATTGTCTGTGCTTTTGATGCAA